CGCTGGAGCGGGCTGGGAAGAGCCGGGCCTCAAAACACGGGCGGTTTAGGGTTTAGGGCTCAGGGTTTAAGGTTTAGGGTGTAGGGTTTAGGGCTTAGGGTTTAGGGTTTAGGGCTTAGGGTTTAAGGGTTTTGGGTTTAGGGCGTAGGGTTTAGGGTTTAGGTTTTAGGGTTTTGGGTTTATGATGTGATGTCGTGCGTTATCCAAGCCCCAGCACTTAGTTGCTCTTCCAATAACAAGGTTGCGAAGGGGTGCTGGACTTTGTGGTATGCTGCGTTTGTGGGCTTGGTGTGTTGGGACCGGAGGTTTAGTGTGGTCTCCTTTGACTTCTTTAGAATCTCACAATACTCAAGAACTTTGGGATAAGAGACTTGCACCCTAAACCCTAAACCCTAAACCCTAAACCCTAAACCCTAAACCCAAGAAACAATCAATAAAAGGTTCTGTTGGCCCTGAAGCGACCGGTAAGTTTCGGATCGCGAGCTCGGGGTTTCGAGCCTAAGCTCGAAGCCCCTACACCTTTAAGGGTTTAGGGTTCAGGGTTTAGGGTTTAGGGTTTAGGGTTTAGGGTTTAGGGTCAATCCCTCCATCGTAGCCCTTGACGAACCCTCATGGCCAAACTGACAGTAGCCGTCGCAGTAACCGTAAACCCCAAACCCTAAACCCTGAGACCGAAGCCCCTAAAGTAACCCTCGTAACCCTTGAACCTCTTGACCGCTTATTCCTAAACCCCATGTTTCCTCATGGAACCCCCCTAGTAGGAACCCCTTGAAGGACCCCGTAAGGGCTCTCTTAGACCCTGAACCGAAGAACGAATTTTCCGAGGCCTCCGCTGCGAAGGGCCACAGCCGCCTGAGGTCTGCGGTGGTTGAGGGCTTCTTGCTTCCAGGGCTTGAGGTTCAGGGGTTTAGGGCTTAGGATTGGGAGGGGTTAAGGTTTAGGGGATCCGCAGCATCATGGAAAAAGCTGCAGTCGGACATTTCCAGCCAGCCGCGTCCAGGGCGTGACGGTGAGTTCGGAGCGCCGCGGCTCCGAGCTAATCCTTCAAGACCCCCTGAGCCCGAAGCCTGAGGGCCTAAGCAGGGAAGCCTGATCTTAAGCGGTGCAACGTAAACACGTCCGGTCGGACAGGGCTTCCAGCATCCAGTGGAAGACTCAGCCTCTGAAGGACCCCGACTTGATTGCATGAACCCACAACGGCTGGATCCTTGTTTTCAGAAAACCCAAGAAGGGACTCTCAATGAGTGTTAAGACAGAGCTGCCTCGTCTGTGGAGTCGGCATCCCAAAGGCTTGACCTGGGCAGCAGGGTTCAGGGTTTAGGGTGGGATCGTAAGCTGGAATTATGGTCAGCATCGTGGTACTCGTGGTTAAGGTGCTGGTGGTGCTGACGAGATGTACTGATTATGATGATGGTGATGATGACGGTGATCATCGTCCGACCGGTCCTGCGACAGTACTACGACGATGAGCCTGAGCCTGATGCTGCGTGGGAAGAGTGCTACTGCTATGACAAACAGTCCGTCCTGCTGTGGTTCGTGGTAGTGGAACCCTTGCGATTACTGCCGCTCCCACTCCTGTGCTGCTGCTACTGCTACTGCTGCTGCTGCTGCTGCTACTGCTGCTGCCACGGCTACTGCTCCTGGTACTGGTACTGGTACTTCTAATTCTACCACCACTACTACTACCACTACTACTACTACTACTACTACTACTACTACCACCACACCACCACCACCACCACCACCACCACTACTACTGCTACGACGACGACGACGACGACGACGACGACGACGACACTACGACTATGGCCACGACTACCACAACGATGACGACTACGACGACGACGACGACGACGACGACTACTACTACGACGACCCCTAAAGCAGTTACAACAACGACAACTACTGCGAACGACTCCGACTCCGACTCCGACTCCGACTCCGACGACGACTACTACTACCACTACCACTATCACTACCACTGCTACTACTGCTGCTGCTACTCCGACTCCGACTCCGACTCCGACTCCTACGCCTACTCCTAC